AGTGATTGCAAAGACCATGGCCTGTATCAGGCACACCTTAGTCTCCAGAGAGACACCGTTGCTCTTCAGTACCCTGGAGAGGTCCCTAACAGCAGACTTTCCCATTGTAATACGTTTTTTGATTTCCTGGCTGCTGGTGCCAAGAGTGTTGACCGTGGAGCTGAGAGGTGAAATTATATTACCTTAAAATTAAGAACAGCTCTTTATCAAAAGATTAAAATCTTGTGAATAGCATTAGAACATTGTTCCAATTAAATAAGTTAAATGACAAGTAAAGGTAATCTAGGATGTGCTGTTTTCCATTAGGTGTCACTCAGACTCACGTGACAGAGCAGTACTGTCATGGGAGAGGGATGGGCACTGTCCTCCCCTGTGGTTAACTGCCTCTGAAAACCCGTGAAGGGTCAGGTATGGGTCGGTTCTGACTTGATAGTACACAACAACAATGACAATCAACAACCTTTATGGAAGTAAATCTCCACGTCTTTCTTCTCTGCCGAGCCACTGGGAAGGTTCAAACCACCAACCTTTCAGAATTTGAGAGAAGAGTTGGGGATGGGGATGGGGTTGGGAAGGACTTGAAGGAGGTTGGAGAGGGCTTCCATGGGTCTACTGATGCTCTCTTATTCTCTAAGTGCAAGTCACATGGGTATGCTAACTTAAGAGAAAATTTATTGAGTCATATATTTATGATTTGTGTGCTTTTTGCTAATGTATCTTATGCTCCAAGAAAGTTTACATAAGAATGTCAAACCCTTTCTTTGATAAATTATTTTTAAATACTTTTAAATAACAGCTAGAAATTTTTCTAAATACACGATTTAAGAAGACAGAGTTTATTGGTTCAAACTATTTTTAAATAATCTGTAGAAATTTTCTAAATGCATATTTTGAAAAAATATAGAGTATGAGTAAATAGCTCTGGGCTAGAACCTAGCCATCTGTAGCTATGAAACTCCATACATGAATTTGATGCATAGGCTAGACTGAAATATTAGGTCATTAGCAGAAAGGGTGTTGTTTTGTTTCATCATTATGATATTTCATTCCAAAAAAATCCTTGCCAAAAAACATGTAGCACAAAAAATCATGAAGCACAAACAACTTCAAATTGTAATTATCTACATGAAATAAAATGGCACAGTACCCACTTCCACCCACTCTCCACGCCTCAGGTTTGGCTATTCCCCATTCAGAAAGCATCTACAGATCATTAAAAGCTTTCATTAATTTCATCCATATGTACTTAGCTGAAATCATGCCATTCTAACTCCATTTTTTACCACAGTTGAAGAATATTTATTTATCATATTACTTAAAATATGTTTTTATAATACTACACATTTTAGTTAGAGCAAGATAATTATTAATCCAAATGAAAGGAAAATGAGGGGTTTTTTAAGACTAACACTTACCTTGGAGACAGCAACTGACAGATCTTAATATTCTGGGGAAATGTATGCCTTGTGAATAATTATAATCTAAAATCATTTGGAATCATACCTATATTGCCTATCTCTGCTTCAGAATGCCTCTACATAGAAAGAAACAAAGGAGAGATAGTGGTCTACTGTGTTAAGCAGACCACATATCACCCCCTAATCTACTTCCTGAGGTCTTTAAAGAGCTTTCAGCACAAAATTTTTGTGGACTGAAAAATAAAAACCCCCTTTACTAAGCTACCATTGCACATCAACAGGCAGTGGTTCAGAGGTTTTCAACAAATATATGTTAGATCCATATTTTAAAGAGTGAGAATTTTTTTAAAGTTTTTATTATTACTGTGTGTGTGTGTGTGTGTGTGTGTGTGTGTGTGTGTGTGTGTGTGTACCGTCAAATCGGATCTGACAGGTACAGGAGGAGATTGTCCCTCCTTCTCCAGCAGAGCATCTGGTGGATTTGAACTGCTCACCTCTGGGATTGCAGTGCAGCTTCGTGCCACTAGGCCACCAGAGCTCACGAAGAGGGAGGATTTTAATTAGCCACTTCAATCTGCATCATTCAGATAGAGGAAAAATATCCCAGTTGAACTGATTGTTTGGTATCACATAGACAAGGTGGGTTTTTCCAATTCCTTAGGGTTCATCCATTTTCAGAATTGACAGCCCTAAATGAAGACAATGCAACACACAATGACTCTTTTTCAAAAGACTTTCTTACCTGGATCTTTTTCAGGTGTATTTGCAAAATTTTCCAGCATGAAGGCAAAAAAGTTGGATAGCTGAACAAAATAAAAATGCATTAATCAATGAGTGTACCACCAACTATTGCTGTAGCAAATGCTAGGTATTCTGTCCTATTCCCCTTCACCAGTCTCACTTGCTCCTCTCCTAGCTGCCGTCTGTGCCTTGGTTTGCCTATCTACCCCCTCTCCTCTGGAGAGTTGTCCTGGTCATATGGGACCCATCTCACTCAGAGATGCATGGAATGGTAGTATCCCCTTCCCAGTTGGGTTGGCTGCCTATGGACAATGACTGAAGTAACAACATCACAGTCTAACCCTCTCTTTACCCCCTAACCTCTGAGTAGAACAAATTCTACTCCTCCCAGTGGATGAGGAGGCAGTAACACTTGTCTAGATATATATGTGGCCAGCTTGTGCCCTGTTCTTGCCTCATTCCCCATATAGCTTTCTCAAAAGAACATTTTATCAAAAAATTACTTTCAGCTATTGAAATTAGCAAACAGGAACAAGACATGCAAAACTATTCAAAGGGGAAGGAAAGACGGGGTACAGAGGAGGGGAGAGGAAATCACTAGGGCAGATATGGAGGACTGCAGGAAATAGGCAAAGAGCAAGAAGCACTTGATGAGACAGGATGATAAAAGGCATAGATCAACAGCAGTTAATTCTATAAAACACATAAGAATTACTGTATAAAGCAAAACATACATGAATGAAACACCATATATTCAAATTATTATATAAAACATAATGTACATGAATGGAGGAGGGGGGAATAAAGCACAAATGTGAAGAAGAAGGAAAAAAATCCCTGATCACTTGCACCAGCATCTCTGTCTCAGACTTCACATTTAGAAAGCCTACTTTAAGACATTTTTATGTTCATTATGACCTCCTCTTTCTAGTGGTGAGATTCTGAGTTAAGAGATATACTCTTAAATGTCAAATACATTTGGGGAATAAAGGAAAAGGATATGGTAAAGATGGAAAACACTCACCTTGCATCCTTCTAATCATAACCTAGATGCTGTCTCTGTGCCTATCAATGATCTGCAAAGTCCTGCATGTACACAGCACATAATGCAGTCTAATCTCTTCTAGAAGTCCTACATCCCTGAAAGAGGAGTGCAACTGTGAAATCTGCAAGCAATTCAGGGAGTTGACAGGAGAAAAACTTTCCAAAAGAATATCAAAATGTAAAGTTTTAAAGTTGTTGATGAGTTAAGTGTCACTGTTGTTGTGTATTGTCAAGTCAGGACCAGCTCATAGCTGACCATCCAGTGGGTTTTCAGAGACAGTAAATTGCACAGCTGTTGACTGCCCATCTTTTTTCCACAAAGCAGCTGGTGTGTTCTAGCCACATGCCTTTTATATAAGAGTGCAATTCCTTACCACTAGGCCAGCAGAGCTCCCTAGAAACCACAAAAAGATACTAGTCTGCACTCAATTGTCAATGTTACCTCTCTTCTAATCTGTCCCTACTTGTCATGTTTCCAGAACCAAATCCTATTCTGTCCTGCACCATCCCCATGATGGACTGGGGATTAGAAATGTGCTTACAGGGCTGCCACTGGCTGATTTCTAGAAGTAGGACTCCACCCATTTCTTCTTGGTCAGCCTTACATGAATTGGTGAGGAATTATATCCAGACCTTGCACAGGGAAGGTAAAAATCTATCACTGAGTCAACAATGTTCCCACTATCCACTACCATTAAGTCAATTCTGTCTTATAGCTACCCTCCACAAGATTTATGCATTTGTAAACCTTTATGGGAGATTACCCAAGGAGCGCCTGGTGGATTCAAACCGCTGACCTTCCAGTTAGCAGCCTAATATATTACTCAGTTCTCCACCAGAGCTCCTTATATACCTATCAGGATGATTACAGCAATAATTTTTTTAAAAGACAGATAATAATAAAACGAATACTGGTGTCCTAGTGGCAAGAAGCTGCACTGGCAGGGTTGTGGAGAAATTAGAATCCTAATGCATACAGTCTCTTTGGAAAACAGTTTGGCCATTTCTAAAAAATGTTAAAGAAAGAATTAATACATGATCTAGCAATCCTATTCCTAGGTATATATCCAAGAAAACCAAAAACCTTTATTTGTACAAAAACCTACACACAAATGCTCATAGAAGCATTATGCATAAAAGTAAAAATAAAAAGAAAACCATTTAAATGGTTCATCAACAAAATAAAATACAGTGGAGTACTACTCGGGCAAAAAGAGAGTGAAGTAAGGATACAAATCACAACACAGATGAACCTTGAAAAATATTATGGTTAGTGAAAAAAGCTAGACAAAAGGTCACATACTGGATCACCTCATTTCTATGAAATGTCCATAAAATGTAAATCCATATATAGATAGAGCAGATTAATGATTGCTTAAGGCTAATAAAGTACAGGGCTAATGAATACAGGTATTTGAGAGTAGTGAAAATGTTCTAAAATTGATTGTGGTGGCAGTTGCAAAACTACGAAGAGACTAAAATGACTAACTTGTGCAATGGATTGCATGATATATCCATTATACCTCTGTAAACTATAAAAGAGGAGTCAGTAGAAAATTATGTCCTAATTCCGGAATATATGTGTAAAAATGATTTTAATTCAGAGACTTACTCTGCTTTTATATCTGTCACAGACAGTAACACTACAGACCATCAGTTCATAAGCTGAGCAAAGAGACCACAAGATTGAGTCATAACATACTATTTTCACAGCTGCCAAGAACAAATCCAGCAATTTCTTTCTTTTTGAAATTTTGTTAACTTCAAAAATGTTATAAACGGGCTTTTTGAAAAATAAAAACAATGTGTAATGAAAACAAAAGTTTCTATTAATGTCTATATCCACTCACAAACTCCATTCCCATCCTCCCAAATAATTAATTTGCTGTGTTTCTTTCTCTAGACTTTTGCTTTGTTTTTCTTTCATATAAAATTCTGCATGATGTTCTATCAACTGAGGCTTGGGGTCTTTTTAATTTTTATTTTATTATTTTGTGTGTGTCTACCTTCAAATCGGATCTGGCTGATACAGCGGAGATTGTTCCTCTTTCTCCAGCAGAGCATCTGGTGGATTTGAACTGTGTGCTTCTGGGATTGCAGTGCAGCTTCTTGCCACTATCGGGTTTGTGTTTTCATTTATAATTTTAATGTAAACCTTTCCAAGACTTTTTTTATTGTTGAAAATTACTGTTTTAAAATGTTAATCAGCATTAAAGTTAGATTTATGTATTCTTTCCAGAAGCTTTTACAAAGCCTTCTTCACCTAGCTACATTTTCTTCTAAAAATTTCATAGGTTTGTTCCAAAGACATTCTTTCATTTTCAAATAAAGTTAACAACTTTACTTCCTTTGACAGTACAGATAGAAAATAGGGAATACCATTTTAATTCATTAACTAGCTATTTACCAGCCTCTCTAAAAATGAGGACTTCAGAACTGAGAAATATCATTCTCTCCTCACTCCATAATAAAGCCTTTGACCAAAATTCCTCTGTTTAAAAGAAATTAAAATTTTCATTCTTTTAGTAACAATGGGTAAAGGTAGGTGAGGCTAGGGTAAATTGAAGCATTTTTTTAAAAAATATATTGGTTTGCATACAAAATTTGTATATTTTGTTTCATTCATGTACCATATATTTCACACATTCTTTCATTCACATTGTGTTTCATATAATCATTCCCATACATTGTATTTTATAAAATGAATCACCATTGATCTATGCCTACTATTATCCTATCTTTTCAGGACCCCATGAGGTCTTCCCAATTCCTTCACCTCCTCCCTTTTTTCACCAAACTCTGCCATCCCAGTGATAAGGAAAAAGATAATGATTTCATAAGGACAAATACTGCATAAGACCATTATTGAAAAAACAGTAATATTATCATAATAACTAGTAAGATGTGTATAAAAGGGAAGGATTTTTACCATAAGAAGAGACAAGTTGGAAAAACAGACCTGCATTTGACCTTGCTCATCAGCATATTCAAGAGACCGGAAGATGGTAAGGGCATAACGTTGTCTGGTCTTCAAACGAGCACTGTAAGCTCGGTACCAATTCTGGATGACCATTGCAGCTCTGATAACTGTCAACAGAGAATACAACAGTCAGGGAGAAACAGTTTTTATAGGGAGTTCTGTTGGCCTAGTGGCAAGAAGCTGTGCTGCAATCCCAAAGGCATGCAGTTCGAATCCACCAGTTGTTCCAAAGGAGAAGGAACCTGCTGGAGGGTCAGCTATGGGTTGATTCCGACTTGATAGCACACAACAGTGGCATTAATGCATACTGTGTCAGCCTGCTAACTGAAAGGTTAACAGTTCAAATCCACCATCCACTTGGTAAGAGAAAGACAGACACTCTCTTCTCATAACAATTAACAGCTTTGGAAATTTGATGGGGGCCATGAGTCAGAATTAACTCAACAGCAGTGAGCTTGGCTTTTGCATTGGTTATTCAATTACAGGGAAAGTAGGTGCTTCTCTTAGTCTCCTGTCTAGTGGTGTTATAGTAGAGATACCACAAGTGAGTGATTTAACAAATAAAAATTATTCCCATATGGTTTAAGAGGCTATAAGTAAGAACTCTGTCAGTTCTGGAAAAAGGTTCTTGTTTTATTCAGCTTCTGTAGGCCCAGGCTTACTTGGATATATCCATGTCTTAACCTTTCCTGTGTCAAAGAAATTCACAACACAAAGGCCTTGTTCCAAAGGACATGCTCCACTCCTGCTCTTCTTTCTTAGGGGTTGCTGAAGTCCCCGCTCTACTCTTTTACTGTCTCCTTTTATCTCTCATGAGACAAAAGGTGCTAAAAAAAATCACACCCCGGGGAAACTCCACTTTCATCAGATCAGAACTGTGACTTAAATAAGGAAAATGCACATATATCCCAATATTTTTATATTGATCACAACTAATCACATTTCAGAATCACATGTGAAAGAACTATATTACATAACTTGTAATCTTGTCTCATTAACAGCATAGGATTTACAACACGTGATATAATTACATTATACTGAGAATAATGGTCTAGTCAAATTGATACGTATTACTGGGATATATAATACAATCCATAACATCATTCTATCAGTCTTGTCTAGTTTGAACCAACCCATAGATGACCCTCCATCAGGTTTCCAAGGCTTTATCGGAGGAGACTGCACATCTTTGTCCCAAGGATGCTGGTGAAGTCAAGCCATCAGGAAGGTGATTGCTGCCTTTGGGTGAGCAGCACAACTTCCTGCAGCCTACACCACCAGAGCTCTTCAGAAAAAACTCAGTCCACCAGCATGTCTAGGTTTCAAGAACATGAAAATGGTAAAATTTATCTTTATCATTCTTATCACAAAGTCTCAAATATTCAGAGAAAAATTATGGCACAGTCAATTAAAACATCCAACAACTCACTACCAGAAATGACTCACAACTCCAAGTGAGTTTCCAAGCAAGTAAATCACATGGGAGGAGAATGCCCATCTTTCTCCCTTGCAGCTACAGGTGGATTCAAACCACCACAGAGGCATGACTTTTGGGTTAACAGTGCAAATCCTTATGAGATATGTCACCAGAGCTCCCTGACCTAGACATTAGGAAAACCAGTTTCAGAACTAGACTACCTGAATTTTAATCCTAACTGGGATAACTACTATTTGTGTGAGTTTGGATAAATTATCAAAACTCTCAAAATCTCAGTTTCCTCATCTGTAAATAAGGATGAAAATTGTGCTTATATCTGACACTAATGAAATCTATTTATACCCTGTAGTAGCAATTCCACTCTTTTCAATCAATCACTTGCTATGCATTAAGAAATGGACAATAAATAAGGATGATGGGAGAATTTATGCATTTTAGTTGTATTGTTGGAGAAGAGTACTGAATATCCCATGGACAACCAAGAGAACAAACAGGTATGTCTTGGAGAGGATGAAGCTAGAGTGCTCCTTAGAGGCAAAGATAGTGATGCTTCATCTCTCATTCTTTGGATATGTTGCTAGGAGAGGGTAATCCTTGGAAAGGGACATCATGCTAAGGAAAGGTGGAGGACCAGTGAAAGAGAGGAAGATCTTAATGAGATGGATTGACACAGTGACTGCAGCAATGGGCTCAAGTATACCAGAGATGATGAGGATGGCACAGGATAGCACAGGGTTCACAGGATCCTTATGAGTCATAATAGATTTGATGGAACTGAACAATAAAAACAGAAACATATGTTGGGAGTTCTGATGGCATATTCTGTAGTGAGTTGTGCTGCTAAGACAATCTGAATCTACCAGTTGATCCTCTTCCCATAAAGATATACAGCCTTGGACAGCCAGGGCCTCTATGAATTGGACTAGACATAATGGCAGTGAGTGCTACATACTTCAAAGCAATCTTTACACAGCCCATAAAGAATGTATGTATAGGACATAATTATAACTTTGCATGTAGTAGTAGAAAGTTTAATATTAGTGTAGCCTCAGCAACTATTGTTAGGAATGTGTAACTGTGGTGGGTGCACATTATGGGATTATACATCAACTAGGAGCAAAAGCTTAAAAACACAGTACATGAATTAGAACAAGGAGCCTACTGGTGTAGCATGTAACATGTCGAGCTGCTAACAGCAAGGTTGGTGGTTTAAACCCACCAGCCACTCCTCCAGAGAAAAATGTGCAACCTCCTAGTGTGAAGCCTTGGAAACCCAATGAAGTATCACTGAGTTGGACTCAACTCAAAAGCAGTAGGTGTTAGAACAATTAGAGGGAAAGAGTTATAATCAGAATTAAATATAACACGATAGTACTTCAAATAAATTTAAGATATACATACACAAAACTACATTTCTAGAAAATGTACATACACAAAACCATATTTCTAGAATATATACAAAGAAAATGCAGGAGAATTGGTCAACAACGAATTATTTAAGGAAGTAGCATATGATCTACTTAAGGAAGAAGTTAAAGCTGCACTGAAAGCATTGGCAAAAAATAAAGTCCCAGGAATTGGTGGAATACCAACTGAGGTTTTTCAGGAAACAAATGCAGCCCTATATGTGCTCATAGTCTATTTCAACAAATTTGGGAGACAGCTCCCTGGCCAACTGCGTGAAAGAATTCCCTATACAAAAGAATTCCCTTCACAAAAAAAGATGATCCAACAGAATGTGGAAACTATTGAACAATATCATTAATATCAAATGCAAGTAAAATCTTGATGAAGATTATTTAAAAACAACTGGAACAGTATATCAACAGGGAACTACCAGAAAGTCAAGGTGAATGTAGAAGAGGCCATAGAATGAGGATGTCAGATGACTCTTGACTGAAAGCAGAGAATACCAGAAAGATGTTTACTTGTGTTTTATTGATTGTGCAAAGGAATTTGACAGTGTTAACTATAACAAATTATGGCTAACATTGAGAAGAATGGGAATCTCAAAACACTTAATTGTGCTCATAGACCAAGAAGCAGTTGTACAAACAGAACAAAGGAACACTTCATGGTTTAACATTTGGAAAGGTGTTTATCATGGTTCTTTTTTTCCCCCTTTTCTCCATACTTATTACATCAGTATGCTGAGAAAATAATTTAAAAATATGGACTATGTGAATGTGGTATCAAGATTGCAATAACACCCATCAACAACCTATGTTAGGCAGATAACACAACCTTGCTTGTAGAAAGTGAAGACTTGAAGATGATCAAAGACTTCGTTATAAGCCGTACCTCTAAATTACCTCAAAAGTTTTTCTTAGGACTTCCTTATTCAGTATCCAAAGTTCACATGCGTAGGAAGTAATTAAAATACTATGACTTAAGGCTGCACTGCAATTCAGAAGGTACACAATTCAAATCCACCAGATACTCTGCTGGAGAAGGAGGGGCAATTTCCTCCTGTGCCAGTTGGATCAGATTTGATGGTACACAACAAGAAAAAAAAATATTATGACTTGGGTCAGGCACATCTTTGCCTACTCTTCTCTCTCTCCCTTCTCTGGTAACATCCAAGAATTATTCTATCTGTGCATTAACCTTTTCATAGCTTTTTATAATAGTGGTCTTTACAGGATAATGATCCTTTTATTATTGACTAATAATATCCCTCAGAGTTATGTTCTCTATATTCATCCATGTTATGTAATAGTTTGTGAATTCTTTATCCTTCTTTTTTTTAAATTTAGGTTGTTTATTTTTCATTTCAATGAACATCTATAGAGATTTTGGGATTCCATTCATTCATTGTTGC